GTGAGAGGCAAAACAATAAGTAGGTCGTAGTTTGGGGGATGTCTTACTTTTGGGGAAGCAGGGTATGATTAATGTTAAAAAAGTCAACCATGACCAGCATTTATGATTTGGTGAGATGAGGCCATGGGACAGCCCTCATTTTTCTGTTTACTGCATGAAGCACACGTGTACTTCCTGGGGGACTGACGCACATTTCAGTTTGGGTCCTCGTGGCAGTGGTTTTTGTCAGCAACAGATGGGCATTGAGTAAAACTCCTCTCTGCTTTGAGGGTGAAGACTGAGCCTTGTTCCCTTCATTGGGGGCTGACATGTTATTCCACCTGGAGTACAGTCAGAAGGGTCTGAGCAGGATTTCCCACAGCATTTCCCATTGTACCTTTGGGAACTATGCATTCTTCTTACTCACCGCCTTGAGTTAATTCTGACTCATGGTGACCCTATAGCATAGAGTAGAACTGCCTCTGTGGGTTTCTCAGATTGTAAAGCTTCATGAGAGTAGAAAGCCTCATCTTTCTCCCATGGAGTCACTGATGATTTGTTTGTTTGTTTGCCACTGGTGGTTTTGAACAGCTGACCTTATAATGGACAGACCCATTTGTAACCACTGCATCACCAGGGTTCCTTCTGATGCATTCTTTTTTTTTTTTCATGGTAAAATAGAAGGTCCAGGTATTTGGTAGGTGCATTTTTATTTGTTTGTACCAATATTTGTAAGTCAGCTAGTGATGTTGGAACTCTTATTACCATGATGCAGCAAAATACAAAATATGAGAATACAAATAAGAAAAAAGCTAGGGTTTATAATTCAAACAGAGCCAAAGGGTAGAGGAAATCAATGAAGCACCATACGGCTTAACCTTTCCCCACCCCTAAATTGTCTAGTGAGAAGATTCCCGAATCCCATACATTACAAATAATCCATCACCACATGTCTTTCCACTTTTAGGTCCTATCATTGAGGCTAGATCTTAAAAATATTCAAGGTAGTGTTCTATATAGTTATGTATAGGCATGGACATTGCTTATCATGCTGTGCAGAGCAACCAAGGTAAACCGTCAGATTATTGAATCTTCAGTTAAAAAGCAACCACAATCTTCACCCTCCCCCCCTACTCCCCGCCTACAGTAGGAACAAGGAGAACCAGGATATCAAAGGAGGAGAGTTCTAAAACGAAAAGTCCTACAAAAAAAGAAGTCATGCAGTCACTGCCGGGATGAGCATGGGGCTAAATATCTGTCTTTGTACAGTCTTCAGATTGGATGCTTATCGACTCATTTAAAAAGAAATCTAACGTTTGTATGGCTTCCAGATCACAGATAGAAGTCTGCTGGAACTGGGGAGCAGGAATTCCTCTCCACAGTCTTGGAATGGGTTGTTCCAGACCGGACTGTTCTAGGACTGGTTATTCCAGGCATGGGTGCACCACGTCTGGCTATGCCCCACCAGCCTGCTATTCCAGGTCTGCTTGCTCCAGGCCTGACTGTTGCAGCTCTGACTGATCCACCTGGGTAGATTTCCAGAAGGAAGGCATCCTTGGTGATAGGAGGCACAGTGGCCCAGATAGTCTGCAGGTGCAGAGACCTTCCGAGTCACACCTTGGTTATTCTTGGACCAGTTGGTGGTTTTCTACCCCCTCTTCTATTTCATTCTCTGGTTCTGGAACCAGGTTTTCACCTGTTTGTAGCTCAGATTCAGAGCTTCGGAAAGTTCTTGCATCTGCTGGAGGCTGAGGTGTTTCTGTTTCTGAAAACGTTCTTTGAGTATGCATAGCTGCGCCTGAGAGAGCACAGTTTGGACCTTCTGTTTCTTGCCCTGGCCCTTTATCTCCTTTGCTGGGTTCCTCTTACCAGAATCAGGCAGTTGTACTGTGGGACAGGTGGAAGAGTCCGGGCTCTCCTTCCTCATGCCATTCACTGTGCATTCCTGATGCATTCTTATAAAGCCGTAACTACACATGTTAAAAGTCCTCTCTGTGGGCTCCTCTTTCTGTACCAGATTTATAAATTTCAAGTGCCTCAGACTTGGCTCTTGGCCTTAACTTTTTCTACAGTCTCCCTAGGTGAACTCATCCAGTCCCATGCTTGAACAGTCATCCGTATACCAGTGAATCCCCAGTTTATAGCATAAACCTTTTTTCTTGAACTCTAGAGTCTAGGTTATATCTTTATGTATACCTATTTCTACACAGTATTATGTTCAGTTGAGAAAAGATGGAAATTGTCAAAGATTTCATATTGTTTGGATTAACTATGCTCATAGAAGCAACAATCAAGAAAATTTATCATCCTATTAAATAAATTAAAATTTGTTCTAGTTTTTCATATTTTTTTACTTTCTTTTCAATGGAGGCTTTTATCTGTTTTACTGTTATTTTTGTTTTGTTTGCTTGTTTTTTCAATGTTTTTCTGTATATGAATCCAGGATAGGTAACTATATAGAGACAATAATTTGATTAATGATGTGTTGGGGTTATGGCAGGGGAGGTTGGGGGGAAATGGGGAGCTAATAATGATGAGTATAAGAATGAAGAAAATGAAGATAAACAGTGGCCATCTTGCTGAGAAGCAACCAAGCCCACACGGAAGAAGCACACCAGCCTGTGATCACAAGGTGTCGAAGGAATCAGGTTTCAGGCATCAAAGAGGGAAAAATCATATCACTGTGTGCTCTCCTTCCTGATATGATTGCTGAGGACTAATAGGGGCATAAGCAAGTGTGGTAAAGCCTGGCTATCAAAAGAGATAGTATCTGGCTTCTTAAAGGCTTGAGGGTAAACAAGGTGTCGAAGGGATCAGGTATTAAGCATCAAGGAACAAAAATCACATCACCGTGAATGAGGGGGAGTGCAAAGTGGGAACCCAAAGGTCATTTGTGTGCAACTGGACATCCCCTTACAGAGGGCTCTCAGGGAGGAGATGAACCAGTCAGGGGACAGTGTAGCAATGATGAAACATACATCTTTCCTCTAGTTCTTAAATGCTTCCTCCCCCAACTATTATGATCCCAATTCTACCTTACAAATCCAG